CCTTAACATTTAGAAGAGGAAAGAGACACAAGCCACGAATGGACTTACACATGTGATTATCAGGGCAGCTGCAAAGAGCAAATACTTAACAGGGGTAGACTGACTGAGTGGCCTAACTTAGCATTTCTCCTTCTACAAAACACAAACTACATAGCAAAAATAGGGAAAGAAGGATGGCAAGATGGAGGAAATCCATTTTTTATTTAGAAAAAAACAAGACTGAAATTTGAGAGAGACCCCCTAGGGTTTCCTTTGTACAGTAAGGAGTGAATCACTGCTTTCCAGCAGACACCAAAAGAAATATCAAAACAAGGCAAGCAACTATGTCATGCTTGAGAGGTAAGTAGAGCAACATCATGGACTCAGAGGGAAGGGTCTTTGCTCAGGGAATTCAAGCATTTACACAGTTGTCTGGGCCTCTGCCTGAAGGTCAGGCTGTGCTCTGCACAAGTCCGTTCAGAAACAATAGTGCAACCCCCAAACTTGTGCACTGTACCACTATACAACTCTACTATATGGGAGAAAAGGAAGCAAAATAGGGCTCTAAGGCCCTGGACTCTCAAGCACATTGAAGAGCCAAAAGGCCTGGCAATCTAGTTTCAAAAATCAGCAAATGAAAACCCTATGAATCACAACAGTCCAATCCTCAACCAATCATGCAGATGGTACAGGACCAAGCAGCATTTCATTCCATTGTGCATTGAGTTGCCAGAAATCGGGAGCTGACTCAACAGCTGACAACAGCAACAACAACAAAATAAAACAGAATCTACTAAAGGGAACACAGATATGCACAGATTTCTCTTGTCTCCAAGCAACTTGTTAAATTGCAACATGCTAAATGCAAGGAGATGATTCCACCATCACTCAACCCAAAACTTGATCTAGATTTTACAAAATATTCCACTGCTATGAACTGAAAAAGGCAAAATCATTGGAGGACCCAAATAGCAGTACCTACTCAAGAGTTCCTTTGCAATAAAGGTGTTTCTCACCCCAGAGAAATACTGTTGATGAAGATAAAAAATTGAATATAATGTGTGTTGCCTTAAATATAAGCAATACTTATATATACATATATATAGTCTATAGATTACATATACACATATATAGTATATCGATATTGTATACACATATGTTTTTGCTGAAAATAATTCAAAAACAGTTCCATAACACATCAACAGGGAACTGCCAGAAATTCAAGCCAGGTTCAGAAGAAGGCATAGAATAAGGGATATCATTGCTAATGTAAGATGGATCTTGACTGAAAACAGAGAATACCAGAAAGGTGATCACCTGTGTTTTATTGGCTATGCAAAGGAATTCCACTGTGTGGATCTTAACAAACTATGAATAACATTGCAAAGAATAGGAATTCCAGAACACTTGATTATGCTCATGAGGAACCTATACATAGACCAGGGAGCCATCATTTGAACAGAAATAGGGGAACTACATGGTTTAACATCAGGAAAGGTATGCTTCAGGGTTGGATCCTTTCACCATACTTATTCAATCTGTATGCTAAGCAAAATATCCAAGAACCTGGGCTATAAGAAGAACAACACGGCATCAGGATTGGAGCAAGACTCATTAACAACCTGCAATATGCAAATGACACAACCTTGCTTGCTGAAAGTGAAGAGAACTTACAACAGTTACTAATGAAGATCAAAGGCTACATTCTCAGTCTAGATTACACCTCAACATAAAAAAAAAAACAACTTCACAACTTGATCAATAAGTAACATCATAATAAATAAAGAAAAGACTGAAGTTGTCAAGAATTTCATTTTATTGGATCCACAAACAATGCCCATAGAAGCGGCAGTCAAGAAATCAAATGACATCTTGCTTTGGGCAAATCTGCTTCAAAAGACTTCCTTAAAATGTTAAAAAAAAAAAAAAAA